CTCTAACACTGAGATACCCTTTAGGCCAACTTGAATTTTGTTAAGGCCATTGTTAGTTTGGGTTTTCTGTCACTTGCAGCCAATTCTGGGCCTGCAGACTGCACACTTCCCTGTTTCTGCACATGCTGTCACTCCAACTAGACCATAGCTTCCTAGGGAATATAGGTTCTGATACTGCACAGCACAAAATACTTAATGACTGACCTAGATTCCAACGAGCTTGTTATTACATAATTCTGGGCAAGTCACTCTTTAATATTAGCTGGGGGGGGGGGCAGCATAAGGACAAATGACCAAAAAGGCCAAGGTAGAAAGCTGATCCAGACCTAGTCAGGATCACTGTTTCCTCCTTGTTTGTGTTTCAGCCTAGGAAATCAATTCAAAGAAAGGAAAAAAAAATTAAGAAAATAGGATATTATATATTCAGGTATAAAATACTACCTATTAGCCTATGCTGCTACATGTAGGTTTCTTTTATTATTAAAATCTTCATTTTCCTGATGAGTGTTTCATTATGTTGCTCAGGAATGGCCCCAAACTCCTAGACTCAAGTGATCCTCTTGTCTCAGTCCCTTGAGCAGACTACAAGGATAAATGTCACAAAGAGAGACTTTACGTGTTTGAATGAGCATGAGTCTGTGTGGGCCACAGTGTGCACACGGAGGACAAAGGGCCGCCTCGAGGTCAGTCTATAAATTCTACTCTGTTTGAAACAGGGTCTCTCTCATTTCTTTCTGTTTTGCATGCCAGGCTAGCTGGACCACGCTCTCCTGTTCTGGGGTTCTCCTGTCTCTATTCCCATATCCTGGGAGGAATCACAGGACCGCAGACACCTGTGCTATGTCTGTGGCATCTGGCTTTTTGTTTGTCTTTAACATGGTCCTGAGGGTTTCTAGCTCAGGTCCTCATTACTTGAATGGTCTTTATCATCTGAGTCATTTCCTCAGCAGTCACCAGCACTGGCTGCTCTTCCAGAGGCCCCAGATTTGACTCCCAGCACCCACATGGTGACTCACAATCATCTGTAACTCCAGTTTTTAGGAATCTGACACCCTCACACAGACATACATCAGGTGAAACATAAATGCACATGGAATAGAAGTAAATTTTAGAAGAAGAAGAGGAGGAAGCAGCAGCAGCACATGGTGATGATGCCTATCAATCACTTGTAGCACTTGGACAACTGAGGCGGCCTTGACAGCATACTGAGTGTTACGCTACAAAGTGAGACCCTGGCTCAAAGAAAAAGAACTTTTTGTTATTGGAGGGAACTATCCTTTTCCTATGCTCATGGGATGTTTTTCTATAAACCTTGAGACCTTTCTTATGTCATGTGCCTTCTAGGAAACGTTTGTCTCAACAGATTGATAAAATTGGGAAGAATTTATCTGGCTCAACAACAGTCTCCTCCAAGAGGACATTTTGTAACCATAGTGCTGTGAAGATGGTCACTATAAGCAGGTCAAATATTCTCTATCCAAGACTATTTACCTTTGACCTAGTTAGAATACCTTTGCACATAATTATCTTACATAAACTTTGGCCTAGCTTCCTTCCCATCAATTGTTCATTTTGAGTGAGTGGAAAATACTGTGTTTACACTGACCTTTGGTTTCATTTATCTACAGGCTGTAGTTAGAATCTCTCTCAAGACTCAGCATCAGTTCCCTGCTGCCCTGACAGAACTCATGCCTACTCCCAAGTCTTCTCTTTTATACAGAATAATGAGTGGAGCTGACTCCTTTGCATCGTATGAATGTTCATCTCTGTCGACAAAACACTGTAAAAGACATGATGTCCACATGGTCCCGAAGATGTGCCTTGAGCTTCTAAATTATAAAACAGTTACTACTCTGGTCAGACTGGAACACAACAGAAAGAAGAAAAACACTTTCGAAAGACCCAGTGTGTGCAGTTAAGTACTATATACACCCCAACTAAGTTCTCTGATGTCAGACAGGGAAGTACGGTGGGACAATTCAGTTAACTTCTGGGATCACTCTAAGTGGCAGTCCCAACAAGAGTGTCCAGGTTGAACCCCGAAGCCCATCTCTGTCCCACCATATTACAGAGCGTTCCTCAAGCCCTGTCACCTGCTAGATTCCAGCCACACCCCTCAGGACTCAGAACAGCCTTCTAGAAGTCAAGTTTTTAGATTTACATTTTACTTCAGTGGTCTTGAAACTACCCATCCTTTCTGTAGGAGTCTGCAATCCCTGCTCAGGACTCTGGGATGACTATCTCATCTGCCCTGTAGTAGACTACAGAAGAAACACTGGAGGAGTTCTCAGTTTGGGCCTCAGAGGCCCTGACAGCTTTGATTTTTACTTTCAGTAAACCCTATTCCACCAAAAGAGCAGCCCAGGGTGAGCCTGAGTGTAGATGACAGCAGAGCTGAGTGGTCCCAGAGTCCCCAAGCATGTGGCTGTCTTGACAGTTAATCACATATGCACAAATAACCCTGGCTAAGACTGCACTTAGCGACCTTAGCCCAACTGTTAGCCCCTGGGACTGAGCAGAACGGTTGTTTTAAACTGCTGACCTTTGGAGGGTTTGTTCAGTGGCGAGAGTGAACTGATACAGCCTTTCCAACTTAGGTCAGAGACTTGAAATTGTTTCTCTCAAGGCTCTATTTGTAAAACTCAGAATTTCTTTGTGTTTGTGTGTTTATGTGTTGCACGTACTTGTTCGTATGGGTGGGTACATGTGGATGCATGTATATAGAAGAAAGAGGTTGATGTAGAGGGTCTTTCCTCAATTACTACCTGCTTCAGTTTTTCAAAAAAGGGTCTCTAAGTAGACCTGAAGCTCATCCATCTGGGTAGACTGGTGGCCTATGAGTTTCAAAACTTGGACCTCCTCCATTATCACCAGTGTTGGGGATACAGGCACATATCTATCCAGCTTTCTTTAGAAAAAATATTTATTGTATGTGTATGAGTGTTTGTTTGCATATATCACGTTGCATGCCTGGTGTCCATGAAGTCAGAAGAGAATCTGGAACTAGGCAGTGGTGAGACACCACGTGGGTGCTAGGAACTCAATCTGATCCTTTGCAAGAGCAGTGTGTGCTCTTAACTGCTGACCCATATCTCCAGGTCCTGTGCTCAGTGTTTTATGTGAATTCTGAGTATCCAGATTCAGGTTCTCATGGTTACTGAGCAGGCACTGTATGACTGAACCATTTCCTCGACCAGACCAGAGACTCTTGGCAGCTAAAAATAAATGGGACTAAGTCCCAAGATCACCAAAGAGTTTACTTACAATAGCTTGTTCTTTCCTCTTCCTTCCTGCCAAGGCCAGCCTGATCCAGCCCAGAACACATCACACTCAGGCTGAAATACACTAAAATCTAGTGTGCATAAGACCCTGCGTTAAGTCTCCATAACTTCATGAACCCAGAGTACTGATAAATGTGTGATCACAACCCTGTGAGGTTGAGCAGGAGAACCAGCAGTTCAAGGCCACCCTTGACCAGTTCTTGAAGCTGCTGACAATGAACTGGCACAGCTTTCTCCTTACAAGGCCCCCAGGAAAGTACAAGTTCAGATTTTTTGTGTCTCCTCATAATTCTCAGCACAAGCCTTCCCTACATTTTGGCTACATAATGATGTTGAGATTAGCCTGGCCTACATGAGATCCTGTCTCAAAACTGGAACTGGGGGGTGGCTTTCTAGACCCCTACCTTTTTAGCATGACCAAGCTTTAGATATAAATTAGAAACAAGCTTCAATCTAAGTGGATGTTGTTTAAAATGGAATAACCGTGGGTTCCTGCTACTTCTTAGCAAATCCTAAGTCAAGAATACTTTGAGCTTTTGAGAGAATGTTATTTTCTGGACATAATAGGCTTTGTCTGTAAAAGATCAGAGTTAACTTGTTAAAACAGAATTTTCTGTTATGATATTTCCCTCTTTCTACTGAAGCATCATAGAAATGAGCATTTTCAGTTTAGAAGAAAGGAGTCAACTCTAAATCCAAGTCACAGAGTGTATCACACCATCAGCTCAAGACCAGCACATGAAATAGCAGTACCGTTCAGAGCAGCCTTGCCATAAGCCTCCAGAGCTGAGTCTAAAATGGAAGGCTGCCAACTCACTTGGAAAAATTGAATTATGGTGGTCAAGTTGAATAATGGTTGTTTAAACATGCTGTGGTATCATCTGGCAATCAGCCACGTGCACCTGCAAATTCAAGTGGACAAAAAAAGGAACCGATGGCCCGTGGAAGGTGATGGGTGACTACAAGCTAAGGCTCATATTTCACACTGGGATCAGAGCCAGGCAAATAAGATCAACAAAGGTAAGGCCTGAATTCAAAGTGTAACCAAGAGCCCACTTGGTACACTGTCTCAGGAGCTTGGAACGGCTACTCTGCTGAACACTCTTGAGGGGTGGATGAGTGTGGGGAGGGGAATGACACTATCAATGGCCAAGTGGTTCTAATATCATTTGTCATTTACCCTAAGTTGTTGTGTGACTAAGAGTCATTTCCTGTAGGTGATCAGATGGGAAATGGAGACAAAAGAGAAATCAGAGTGAAGTAATAATTTAGGAGATTGCTTAATTTATGCATGAAGGAGTGTGAGTGTGTGTATATTTGAAACATACATCTAAGGAAAAAAATCTTATTTTTTTGTTTGTATGTTTTTTAAGGCAGGGTTTCTCTGAAGCTTTGACTGTCCTGGAACTTGCTCTGTAGACCAGGCTGGCCTTAAACTCAGAGATCCGCCTGCCTCTGCCTCCTGAGTGCTGGGAATAAAGGTGTGCAACATCACCTGGGAGAAAATTGTGGGGGGGGGGGCAGGCATGTTTTTCTCTATGTACCTTAATAGCCTGGAACTTTCTACAAAGATTAAGCTGGTCTTGCACTCACAGAGATCTCCCTTCCTCTGTTTCCTAGTGCTGGGATTAAAGGCTTATGCCACCATGCTCACTCAGCCTGAAATATTTATGTCAGTAAGAATTAAGTGAAAAATGGGAAATAATCTTTCATAGGTACCTGTACCCTAATTCTTCACTGAGTTGGATCATGTGCAGGATGTAGGATTCCTTGCTTGTTCCAGTGAGGCCAGGCAACAGCAGGATGGTGGGTCTGGTGTTGGCATCCGTATAACATGAGCTGTTATTGTTATCAGACCAGTCCAGGGAGATCTGGCCTCCATCCGCTGTCTTGATGAGTTCACTGAAAATGACCATTCAAAGGCATTACTGAGGAGTGCTTAAGTTGCACCTTGGTGTTTTCATTCTATAAATCTGACATTATCTAGTCATCTCAAAATAACTTACCATATCCACATATACGTATCTATGAGTCACTTTCTTTCATTACAAAAATATTACCAAAATTAATACCCTATTTCCAGCAGTTCCAATAAAAATAGGTAAAAAATGAACTTCAGAAGGGACTAAATCAGGGTAATTGGGGTGTATATGTATAAACGTGGTCAAAATACATTATATATATATGCACAAAATTGTTAAAAAAACCAATAAATTATTTTTAAAATGAACTTAAAAAAGAATAAACGTCAAAGAACTTCAAATATTTGGGAGGGAGTGTGGAAAGTCCCTGCCTAGAATGCACAAGGCTTTGGATTTATCCTTGGTATTACACACACACACAGCCCTTCATATATTAATCATTTCTTTATTACTCTCAAATGCATAGCATTTAACTCCTATTAATTGAGGTAATACAGAGACCAGCAGGGCATTCTGGGTAAGCCAACTCTGTTCTATCTACAACTCTGACTCAACTAAGCAGGCCCTCACTGAATACTACAAAATTTACTTTTTGAATGACTTCCCACAGCATTGTGGGCCCAATAGTAGAGCCGGCAGGGAGAAAAGGAACTCCAGAGAAAGACTATATGACTCAGGGAAATTAGTACTAGACACCATTTAAATCTCTGGTTAGATATGTCCCCACCCACACCTGCAATATCAGAACATTATCTTCAGAAACCCATGCGTTTGTTACTATGAGTTCTTTCGTGGGGAGACACAGAACCTGAAGCGATTGTAGAGCCTCAAGGACAAATTGGAAAACAGTACTCCCCCCAAACCAATGTGCTTCTCACATCCCAGAAATAAGCTAGGACTTCCATTCTGCCCGTTAGGAAAAAAGAAAATAAAAAAGGCGGGAGCAACATAGGCGTATTGTTCTGCGGCTGGAGGTGGGTGGGTGGGCGCGCATTCTTCCAATTTTCTTTACTTTCATTTCATTTTGTTAACCACAGATGTATTAACTTAGAATTGGAAGCGGGAATTAAAACCTGTGATTTGGAAGATAATAGGGCAAAAACACATTCACTTACTTCCTGTACTGCACCAGGGGCTTGGCAGTGATGAAGGGTCTCAGCAGTGTCTGTCCTCGGCTCTCCCAGCACCATACCGTTGGGTAATAGGTTTCTGTCACCACCGGACAGTGGTCCTGGAGGAAGCGGCTGAAACTCTCCCCTCCAGTCACTAACTGGGGTTTCTGCGGGGAGAAGCAACATCGGTGAGGGGTCCAGAACAAAGTTTACGGCGGCCGTAAACCAGCAACCAGCGGATTTATAGTGCTCCCACCCGCAGGCCGCGCGCGAGCCCTCTGATTCAGTCTCCCCGGAGACTGACGCACAGAAGCCACAATCACAACAGTCCCAAGATGCATTCAATCGCATCCCGGGGGGGGGGGGGGGACACGAAACGCGAACTGAGCGCCGGTGTCGTCCCCGAAGTACCGCAGTTGTGCTGGCCGGTCCGGGGAAGGGGACGCCGGGAGAACCTGGTGGCAGGACCCTGGACCTCCGCGCGCCCTCGGGACCCCGGAGCTTGCCACGCTCCGCCGCCCCCGCCCCCGCCCCCGGCTCACCTTGGCAATGCTGCTCAGGTAGTAGCAGGCGTAGGCGACGCTGAAGCCCAGGATCAGCGACAAGCCCATGCCCGAGCCGAAGAAGCCGACGCGGACCTGGTGCTCCAGGTAGAGCGCCAGCTCCCGGGACAGCACCCGCAGGTCCATGGCCAGGCTCTGCATGGCGCGAGGGCGGCGCAGCTGCAGCTGAGGCCGGCCTGCCTGAGCGCCGGGATCCGCGATGCTGGGGAGCGGCGCCTGCGGGGAGGAGCGCGGCCTCAGCCAACCGCGGCCCGGGAGGCGGGGCCCGTCTCGCCCCGCCCCACCCGCGAACCTTCCAGACCGGCGGTGTCCCCGGAGAGACCGGAGGGAGCGCGTGAGCTTTGCAGAAGAAACGGCCCCCCGCTGCCACCTACCGCCGTGACCTTGAACAAGTAAACGCTGGAGGCAGCAGTTAGGAGAGAAGCGGGCACTAGTTTCGGATTCCAAAGTAGACGCGGAAGGGAAGTAGATGCTATGAAGGGAGAGAATCTTCCATCAACCGGGGCTTGCGTCCCTAGGAAAACTATCCAAAGAAAAAAACATACCATCAATTACACACTCATGCTCAACTTTCAGTCTCCCGGTGAATCTTTTAAACAGCTAAGGGCTATTAGATGAAAACTGGGTCTTCAAAAAGTCAGGAGCCGGAAATAGGATTCAATCATGTGGTTGATGAATGCTGTGAACTCGCAGGTATTCATATGGCGATTCGGGCTGATTACTCAGGAAAGCGTCCGTGAAGGAGGTTCTCTCAGGCTTGTTAGTGGCAATGTGTCAGAAGTCTGAGGATAGTTAAAGCCATTTGAAACAAGGATGACTAGACGTAAGCAGGGAAACAGTGAAGGTAAGGGCTGAAATCAAGTTTATACAGTGCAAGGGATCCCGCTCAGGGCTTTGTGCCTGGTAGGCACTCCCCAGCTGAGCTACATCCCCCAGCTATCCGTTGCTTATTTTTACATCAGCACGTGGTAGTTGTATTTTATGGATTAGAGTGTGAGATGGCAATCCATGTCTAATCTATAATAATCAGATCAGTAACTAGCATATCCGTTCCTGCAGACATTCATCACTTCTTTGTGTTGGGAGCACTGTAATTTTGAAATAATCAAGTGTTCAATCAGTTAGGATTATGCCTCAATGATCTCTCACTGGAGGGAAATAAGATGGGCTGGAAGTGAGCAATGTATTTGGCTTTGACTTGGTCATTGAGCTTATTGGGGTTGGTGACCAGAATAATGCAGTTACTTTCACTGAACAAAGTTCTCTGGATTTCCTCACTCTCACCTTGTTTTGCTTTTGTTTCTTTAGAGGAGCATTTCTCAACCTGTGGGTTGCGACACCCTGGTTGAATGACCCTTTCATAGGGGTGGCATATCAATAGGGGTGGCATATCAGATATCCGGCATATCAGATATTTACATTGTGATTTGTAACAGAAAATTACAGTTATAAGTGTCAATGAAATAAGTTTATGGTTGGGGGTCACCATAACATGAGCTGCATTAAAGGGTCTCAGCATTAGGAAGGTTGAGAGCCACTGGTCCAGACAGTCTTAAAGTCTTAAAGTATTTCAGGCTGGCCTCCAGGTCACCATGGAGCTGAGAATGACCTTGAACTTCTGATGCTCTTGCTTCCATCTCCCAAAGACTGAGCTTAAGGGATTGTACTGATTCCATGTCCAGTTTTATGGGTTGCCGGGGATCAAAAGCACTCTATCACTGGGCCGCAAGGCCTTGCCCTATAGCAGAATTGACGTGCAGCTCATTGTAGCCTGGCGCCTGCCTCAGTCTCCCAAGTGCTGGACGTAGAAGTGTGTGCCACCACTGCAGCATGAAGGTTTCATGTGTGACATCAGGTCTTGCTGTGCAGGATGACAGACTGGGCTAAACTGGTGGCAGTCTTGTCTGAATCTTTCAGGTGCTGAAGATTACAGGTCTGTGCCCCTGTGCCCAGAAATGTGTGTTGTTTTGTTTCTGTGTGTGGTGCTGGGAATTGAGCCCAGGGCCTCATGCAGGCTAGAAAAGTGCTCTACCACTGACCTGCATTCCTGGCGTGCCTCTTCCACACTGTACCTTGATGCCTAAGCCTCTTTCTCGTTAGAACATTTACAGTCTTCCTTAACACAAGGACGGTGACTCTCAATTTATAGGTGAGAAAATGAGAGTTCTGGATTTTATTCACTTTCAACTAACTTCTTTGATGATCAAAATACCAAAGACTTCAAAATTAGAGGCAACAGAGGAGAAAACACTTAAGTTGCAGAAAAAATGCTAAAGGGAAGGGTTGTACCAGTTGTGGCAACACAGGGTTCTTAGAGTAAGAGGAAAAGCCACTTTGAGTTTATTGTACATAGAAATGTATTGTAATAGCATTTGGCTGTAACAAGGAGAGGGTCCTGTGTTTGTCCCGGCTGCCTGGCTAGTTTACACCCAAAATAACCACACAGAAACTGAAACTGTATTCATTAAAACACTACTTGGCCCATTAGCTCTAGTTTCTTATTGGCTAACATCTTAGTTTAACCCATTTCTATTAATCTGTGTATCGCCACGTGACTGTGACTTACCGACGAGACTTTAGCCAGCGTCTGTCTGTCTCAGGCCAAAGATCCATGGCTTCTCTCTCTCTCTCTCTCTCTCTCTCTCTCTCTCTCTCTCTCTCTCTCTCTCTCTCTCTCTGCCCTTCTTCCCAGCATTCAGTTCTGTCTTCTCCACCTACCTAAGTTCAACTAGACCAAGGCAGTTTCTTTATTAACCAATGAAAGCGACACACAAACAGAAGGACCTCCTATACCATTTGGCAGTGGGTGAAATCTTTCCATAGGCCAAACAACTAAGCTTGGGATTTAGAAACAATGCCTTAGAAAGATGAAGATAAGGCATTACTTCTAGGACAGAGTGCTTACCTAGCATAGACAAAGACCTGGCTTTAATCTCCAGCATTACATATATTTGGCATGGTGGCACATTGCTGGAATCTCAGCAGTTGGGGGGTAGAAGCAGGAAAGGACCAGGAGTTCCAGGTCATCCCCTTCTACATAGTGAGTTGAAGACCAGCATGGGCTGCGCCAGACTCTCTGCCCCCTCCAAATGCTACGACACTGGTCCCAGGATGGCAGCACTCCTGCCATTTTGAAGCCTTCCTCCATGGTGGTGGGCATCCATACTTACCAAGCTCTGCTTTGGGCCATGGGCACTTCCACCTTTGGAAACAAGGTACTGTGTCTCCATCCCTCTGCTTCCTAAGTTGGCTGCTGTAAGTAGAGCAAAAAATTCAGTTTGGGTTACATCTCAGTTTTCCTATGGAGGTAGGAAAACAACACCTGGCTTTTACTGCTTTTCCTGTGTTCAGTGCTAGGGATTGAACCTACAGCGTCATGAAATGTTCAGAAGGGCCCCACCACTGAGTTATATCTCAGCTCTAAATCTCAGCTCCAGTCTGTAGTTGGAAGGAGACTAGAGAAAAGGTGTGAGCAAAGACTCGGCATCTTAGTTCAACTGGGAGACCTCATCTGACAAGGGTCTCAGATGTGGTAGACATCACAAAGGCAGCAGGTTGTGCAGAGGGGACAAATAGGGGTCACTTTAAAACAGTCTGCTTTACAAAACACAGCTCCAACTGTGAGGATTAATGTAGTCCTTCCAGAAAAGGGGTAACCCTCTTGAGCACCTCATTATCTCTTTAAGGCCTCACTACTTCTCAGCATTGTTACCTAGGGACAACATTTTGACGTGTGTTATAGGATAGTCTTTTTGAACACTGTGAAGATGTGTCTTTGCCAAGGTGTCTTCTGATTGGTTTAATAAAAGAGCTGACTAGTTAGGCAGGAAGTTTAGGCAGGACAGCAAGACAGGATGCTGGGAGGAATAAGGGCCAAGTCTTGGAAATCTCCAGAGACAAGAGAGAAGCAAGATGAATGTGCTGTGTTGAAAGAAGCTACAGCCATGTGACTGAAGGTGAATAAAATATGGGTTAATTTAAAATGTGAAAGTTAGCTAGTTACCAGCCTGAGCTATCAGCTGAGCATTTATAATTAATGTTAAGTCTCTGAATATTATTTGGGAGCAGTTGCGGAGACACACAGAAATCCCACATAAATGAGTTTCAAAGGTAGCACATAATACTCATATATCGTACTTAAAATAAATCTCTAAATAAGTTCAACTCTTCAGTTGACATTCAAAAATAAGGATTGCAGTAAGAAAGTATTTTTGTTACAAGTCTTTTTCAGACTTATTTTTTATTTTGTGTATGCATGTGCGTGTGGAGACCATTTGAGCTTCAGAAGCTGGGGTTAGGAGCAGTTGTGAGCTCCCTCCCTGTGAACTGCAGTCCTCTTCGAGAGCATCAAGTGCCCTTACCCACGGAGCTGTTTTTTCTCCCTCCACCAGTAGGTGTTACTTTACTTACGAATATCACAATGACCATTTGTCAAACAGCAAAAACTTGTTTTTAAAAACAACTTAAACTCACTGTAAAGGCATAAACCACACAAAAAGGTCTATTACTAATGGGAAGGCTGAAAACTATTTATTTATTTATTTAATTTGGCAGGGTTTTTTTGTTAAGTAGCCCTGGAAGACCTGAAACTTACTATGTAGACTTGGGTGACCCAGATCTTGCAACAGTCCTCCTGTCTGCCTCCTGAATGCTGGCTTAAGATCAGAACATCCTAAGATTTAATGAGAGGCAAGACTTAAAAAGAAACACATCACTACATATTTTGTGTAGTATATGTTATACAATTTGTAATTGGTCTTAGTAAATAGAAATTCAGAGTTTGATATGAGGGGAGTGAAAGCTGAAAGATCAGAGAAGCAGAGCAGCCAGCTACAAGAGTTCTTATCTCTCTAAATGCTCAGACAGATGGGCCAAGATCCTGTCTCAACAAATGCTCAGACTGAATTCAATGAACTCCTGTCTCCTTCCACCTTTTGTTCCCCTCTCTGCCAAGCCATATCCCCTCTAGTCTCTGCTTTCCTAGTGTTGGGACTAAAGGTGTGTGACTCCCAAGTACTGGGATTAAAGGTATAAGCCGTCACCACCTGGCTTGTTTCTTTTTGAGACTGGGCCAATTTTGTGTAGCCCAGGGCAGCCTTGAACTCAGAGATCCCTCTATGGGATTAAAGGTGTGTGCCACCACTGCCTGGCCTCTATAGTTAACTAGTGGCTTAGCTCCACACTCTGATCTTTAGGCAAGCTTTATTTGTTAGATCAC